ACAACTGCTCTGCAGAAGGGAGGGCAGAAGTAAGCTGAAGTCAAAGGGGCAGATAATGGTAGGTTGATGGCTAGCTGGGAAGGAGATGGGGTTGCCAACTACATGCTGACAAATTCTTAGGGATTTGAAGGGGTGGAGCCTGGAGGGGGGGGGGCTCAGACAGGTAGACTGCCATAGACTCCACCCTCCAAACCAGCCATTTTGTCCTGGGTAACAATTGTTGCCAATCTCCAGGTGAGGGCTACAGATCACTCACAATTACAACTGCTCTTCAGGTAGCAGAGATCAGTTCCTCTGGAGAAAACAGTGGACTCTGTCATTATACCCTGCTGAGGTCACCACAGCAAATTGACACTGTTTGCCCAAAGCCAGAGCACTGCCCCAGAGCCTCTTTCTAGATCCCGTTGTATTGCTTTCACAACGGGCTTTACTGCTAGTCTTGAATAAACCATTGTTGGTCTTAAAGGTGCCACTGAACTTTAAACAAATAAAATGCTTGTTATCTTCACTTCTCCTGTTACACTTAGGGTGGCCAGCATCCAGGTGTTGGCTGGAGATCTGGGATTACAACTGAACTCCAAATGAGGTCAGTTCACTTGGAGAAAATGGCTGCTTTGGCATGTGGACTCTATGGCATTACACCCCATTGAAGTCCCTCCCCAAACCCTGTCCTCAGGCTCCAACCCCCAAATCACCAGGTATTTCTCAACCCAAAGCTGGCAGTTCTAGTTACACTAGGGGAGTGATCATAAACAGACCTACTCTGAAGTTAGTCCCATGTTATTCAATAGGGTTTATTGTACTTAATCCTGCAGCCTAAAAGGATCTATGGCCCTAGTCACAGGGCCGGATATCACGGGGGAGGCGTGGCCAATTGCCCCAGAGGAAACTAACGCGCGGCTGCCCGAGCACACGTCCTGGTCAAGGTCCTGTGGTTCGGGGGAAATGCCGATCAGACGGGTATCCTGCAGCACAGCACAGAAGCCACGCTGCGCGATCACACTAGCAATCGCTCTTTGTGCGCATGCGCTGTTGGGCGCTGTTGCGCAACCTGCGAAGACGAACAGCGCCGGGCGCCGGATGCCACATAAATCCACCGGGAACGCGATCAGACGCCCGCCCTTGGTCCGCGTTTTCAGGAAACTAGTACCTCGTAGGTACTAGTTTTTAACTTCACACCATCGGTGGGGAGCCACGGGAGCACTGCGCTTCCCAGATGTTGGGGTGAGATCACGGCTGGAAAATCCGCAGGACTCCCGTGCCTCTCCCACGGCAACTTTGCCGTGTGACCGGGGCCAAAAGCACAATATCTGTGAAGTGCCATTGAGCTGTAGAATACCCTAAAGGAGTAACCTAGTGATTTCTATTTCCTTTGTGGATGATGTAGAAAGTATGGGAGTGGGGCAATTGTTTTTCATATTTCCCACCTAACATGGAGATCTAAACAGAACAGGGCAGTTTGATTTATTTCCTGCTTCGCATTTCTGATGTACATATGTCTCTATATATGTTTATGTATTTAAGCGAGCCCCATCAAGGCCAGTATGGGAGGGTCCTCACTTAGTTTTAGTTCTCTATGTAGGATGTAGTTCCTGTGTGTGAAATAGTAAAGAAGACTAGTGTTGAAGCTGTCAGTCTCCTCTGCGCTATATGGATACGTAAGCTTAATCCTACACAGCAGGCCCCAGAGGATACTACAACATTAGATTTTCTATCACTTCTCCTTCAGTGGGGAAGTCATCCAATCTGGTGTTAGCCGAATTGCTCTTTAGGAGAGACAATTGGAACAGTTTAATTATCGGGTTACTGGTCTGTGTCTACAAAGGATGGGCTGTACCAATGCGTTTCAATGAGAGACAGAGACGAGAGTCAAATACAACTCTATTTTACTGGTAGTTATTCAAACACACAAGGGTAATAATAAAAACCACACATATACACAAGAACTAGTAAAAGTAGGTAGAAAGAGTTACAGCACAATTGCATGAGCAGGAGATTCGTTGGTATCCTCGACGAGAATATATTTACCTTCGATGTGGCTCAGCTCCTAAACTTCCAGCGGGATGAGGGCAGGAGGGGAGAAATGGGTAGAAGCACGTGAGACTAGACCGGCTAGAGACACGTGAATTGACCTTAGCTGCAGTCTAAGGCAAAAGCGGTATTTGGGGAATTGGATAGTAAGCGGAACAAAAGGGGATAAGCAGACAAGAAAGGTCGATGACGAGGGGGAAGTAGAAGACGAAGAAGGGCTGGCTGGTAGTTCCGTGTTCAATGTTTTAAACTTTCTTGAGAGGTGGCGAGGGTGGGTTCAAACAGATTATCGTGTAGCCCTACCCCAAAGGTCAAGGATTGGTTATGGGGTCAATTTTCACTGTATTCGTTAACTAGTGGGGAGATGCTTGGGCGGGGGCAGAGGTTACGTGCAGAGTCACCGGTATCGCTGACGCGTCCTGTTGCTATGTGTAATAAATTCTGGCCGGGGTAAACATCTGAGGTTAAGCTTGTCAAAGTGGAGACACTTGGTCTGGGCTGACTAGCGAGTTCATTATTTTAGTTGCTTCTTCGTGTTAGCATACATGATGAATGTAGATAGCTCAGGGGCCCCTCTAGATTGATGTTTAACTCAGAAGATTATCGTCTTCAGCTGGTATTGTCTTCAGGGTGCCCTCTCGTTGAACTCTCCATCCACAGTCTCTCAAATAGCACCCTGTTTTATATCAAGCTTTTAATGCATGGTCCATAAAATAGCCCAAAATGGTCGCCAGGGCTAACACTGGGTAGGTCACGTCTCACCTCGCTCCAGGCAAGGCTATGTAAATTTGTGGAGACTGTATTGGCTCAGGGTGAGGCTGACCCTCCAGTTTTGATAGCCCTGCTTTCTTGTCTTATTGGTATGGAGAGTCTTGTCTTATTGGTACGGAAAATGGAAAAGCCTTGAAGAAAGGCCCCATCGCCAGCCTTAAAAAAGAAAAAAAGAGACTCTCCTGCCTGATGTTTCAGGCATCGGTGACTGGCCAATAGCAGATACATCTACAGCAGCACAAGCCACCATCAGTGCTGGCAGACCTAAAGCTTTGGGTCGTCCCACAGCCAACCCCCAACAACAGGACCAGCCCAGCATAGACCTATCAGGACCAAGCCTAGAC